AAAAAAAATATGTGATGTATTAGGACAACATCGGGATTGCTTGGACAACCATAATTATAGCAAATATTGTAGCAACAAAGAATAAAAAAAGCAATTAATGGGATTTGCATTGTTGATGCCTGATTGTTCTAGAGAAATGGAAAATTCCCAGAATATATTGTTAGTTGAGGATACAACAAAATTTTATTGACATTGCTTGACCCTCTAAATCTCTGGCAAAGTAAATATTTGTATACATACACACACACACACCGGTATATACAGGTAGTCCTCGATTTATGACCACAATTGAGCCCGAACTTTCTGTTGCTAAGTGAGACATTTGTTAAGGGAAGTTTGCCCCAGTTTACGACCTTTCTTGACACAGTTGTTAAGTGAATAACTGCTGTTGTTAAGTTAGTTGCATAGTTGTTAACTGGAATCTGGCTTCCCCATTGACTTTCTGGTCAGAAGGTCACAAAAGATTATCACATGACCCCAGACACTGCAACTGTCATAAATATAAGTCAGTTGCCAATCAACTCAGTTTTGATCACATGACCATGGGGATGCTGCAAGAGTTGTTAAGTGTGAAAAACGATCATAAGTCCCTTTTTTCACTGCTGTTTTAACTTCAAACAGTCATTAAATGAACTGTTCTAAGTCAAGGACTATCTGTATATATATGTTTTTGTATCTGCCACCTCAACCTGTTCTCATATTTAATTTAATTTAATTTAATTTAATTAATTCAATTTATATGCCGCCCCTCTCCGAAGACTCAGGGCGGCTCACAATACATTTTAAAAAATCATTATAAAAAAAACATTTAAAAATTAAAAACATTAAAAACATTAAAAACTCATTCACGCCATTCATGGCTGGATCTCGCCAGATCACAAGAGCGAGATCAACGGCCCCAGGCCTGCCGGAAAAGCCAGGTCTTCACAGCTTTTCGGAAGGCCAATAGGATGGGGATGGTCCGGACCTCAGGAGGTAACTGGTTCCAGAGAGCTGGGGCAGCCACAGAGAAGGCCCTCCCCTGCAGGCCCGCCAGCCGGCATTGTTTAGCTGATGGAACCCGGAGGAGACCAACTCTGTGGGATCTTACCGGTCCCTGGGAGGTATGCGGCAGAAGGCGGTCTCAAATATAACCTGGCCCTGAGCCATGTAGGGCTTTAAAGGTAATAACCAACACCTTGAATTGTGACCGGAGACCAATAGGGAGCCAGTGCAGCTCGTGGAGAATTGGTGTAATGTGGGTATATCTACGTGCACCCACGACAGCTTGCGCGGCTGCGTTCTGGACCAACTGTAGTCTCCAAACACTTTTCATCTGCCAATCTTCCAAGGATTCTCTATTGGTTTCATTGAGAGCATTCATCCTTTTTTTCTATTATCTTCCCATTCTTTTTTTTTTTCCTTCACCTTAACAAACATATTTGTTCTTCTTGCCCAACATCCACTCATACCACACTCCTAGGAAGTTTCTGATTTTTGAACATTGCCTTACAGGACAAAACTGCCTTTAATTTGTCCATGAATAATTGATGGCTTTTTCTTGCGGTTCCTGATATTCTTAGATTGAAACCATCCTTCAATCCATATTTCAAAATGTGTATATCACCTTTTCTCGGGTGCTAACTTCCACAACTCAATGTTATTACTACTTTAATTTTTCTGATTGTTGTCATAGACATAACCTTAACTTTCATGAATTGTCTAAGGATCTTTCCCCTTTTGCCCTTCATTAGGGGTGTTTGAGGATGTGGTCAAACAAGTCAAGATGCTAGTTTCAATGGTGCAAACATTGCTCCCAAGCCTGGGGTGCTGCATGCGCCAAAGGCCCCACCTCCTATCCTCCTGGCTATATTGTTAAGAGACCTGATGTCTTGCTTTGCATGTAATGGAATCAGACACTTCAACATTGTTTTAATGGTTTTTACTGTTCTTATTATTTTAAAATGTTTTTAGGGTTTTAATTGTAGTATAGGTTTCTGGACTGTGAGCCACCCAGAGTCGTTGGCTGAAATGGACAGCTATAGAAATCCAATAAATTAATTAATAAAAGTCAATCAATCAAAGCTCTGCCTTTTTCTGTTGTGCGTCATGCAAAACAGGCAGAGCTCGATTTTATTGTTCAAATTTTTACCATATTTTTACCACTTTTTTTACCACCCCTTGTGGACTTCCATGGCCCTAAGCACAAACTAGCCATGTCACTTCTTTCTTCTCCCTTGTGTCCTTACAAGACCGCCTTCATCTCATTCCTGAGCCATGTCTGAGGAAGACATGGAAGACAAGGAAGGAATATCCTTACTGGTATTATTGTTAAAGTAGCTTTCATCTTAAGATGGTAGCATCCAACAAGAATGTAAAATCTACCCATTATATTGGAAGTAAGGTCAGATAGCCAGCAGTTAATGAGATCAGCACTAATTTACCATTTCACACTCTTCCAATCCTTGGTTGGCATTATCTGCCACCAACTGGACACTGCTGCACTAAAGAGCCGATTACAGCAATACCATGTCAGGGACTTATCAAAACCATATCATGATGCAGCCAGCGGTACAATAAATACTTAATTCTAAAGTCCTTTCTGATTTAGTGCAAGACTGAAACAATAAAGCCCCCATTATCCCCCAAGCAGCATGGAAGAATCTGCAGGGTGGCATTTGTCACCATTATAAACAGAGAGGAATGCTAAGTAAGGGTGATGCTTGCAACCCAATTTTGTTTGGGATTCTGATTTCCTTTAACAAAGAAACTGTATTCAGATTAGGTTATGACTGAATGGAGAATTGGAGGAAGAAAGGCAAATGAGACTAAACTTATGGACAGAATCCTGCAGACCCATCTCACTTTCCTCCATAGTTGGGAGATGTTTTTTCATTGCTGGTAACAGGAGACTCACTCAACCCATCACTTGGTCAATCTATATGTCACATAAACTTCTATCCCATATGATTCAAATATTTATGGCCTAGTCTATCATTGTGATGGTGAACCTTTGGCATGCGTGCCACAGGTAGCACGCAGAGCCCTCTCTGTGGGCACACGAGCCGTTGCCCCAGCTCAGCTCTGCTGCACATGGGCGCACACCTCCCTTCGGCCAGCTGCTGCTCCCTTCGGGTCTCTGCTGCGAATGCACTAGGTGCATGCAGGAGATGCGCATGAATGCGTGCGGGGTGGGCACACATGGGGTCATGCGGACCTGCACGGGAGCACACATGGGGGGCATGCGTGCATGCATGGGGCAGGGTGCACATGGGGTTGCGCACACATGCTCAAGGGAGGGTGTGGGGTCACACATGCATCATATTATGGGGCTGTGCGCACGCTTGCGCTTTGGGCACTTAGTGCCAAAAAAGGTTAGTCATCACTGGCCTATCACATTTTGCAATATGCAAAACCAGGATATCAGCACATCTATGCATCAGCACAGACACAGCTGAGGCAGAAGAGAAAACAGGATCAGGGAGAACGATATACTTTTCTGCCTACTCAAAAATGGGGAGATTAAGCATTTTAACTCGGTAATAGAATAGGGTCAAAATCATGCAATCCCTCTGTAGGATTAACTTCTTTATTTCTCCAGCACACCACCTATCCCGAGCCCAGTAAAAGTTTCACATTTAATTTTTCTTTTTATAACGAGCTCTTCTAAATCATCCTTACCTTTAGAATGTCTTCACCAGAAGCTCCTGTACCCACAACTCTCTTGCCCACAAGGTTAAGGTGGTGTCTTCTCATGATATGGGCACTACACTTCTATAGACAATGTTTAGTTCAGATTTTCTCCGCCCACCTCTTTGCATCTTACTTTCACAAGTATAATGGGACATCTAAAATTGCTAGATCTCCTACCAAGCTATTAATACATCCTGATCTACCATATGCCTACCTCAAATCTAGGCTGCATGTTACTAGATCTATAAATTAATTGCCACTAGAACTGTAATGGCTGATGGGGTATCTGGAACTATGAATTAATTTCTAAATACCTAAATTTCTAAATAAATTATTTTATTAGAAAATAATTTCCAATTTCCAATTATTAATTTAAAAATACTATGAATTAATTTCTAAATAAAATCTAAAATAAATTGGTTCCATGAGAGCCAGCTTTGGTTAGTGGTTAAGGTATCAATCTAGAAACCAGGAAACCCACTTTAGGCCAAAGCCAACTGGGTGACCTTGGGCCAGTCACTCTTTCTCAGCCCCAGGAAGGAGGCACTGGCAAATTACTTCTGAATTCTTGCCAAGAAAACTACAGGGACTTGTCCAGTTAAGTCCCACAGACTCAAAGGCACTTAATCCACTATGCAACTTTAAAAACCTACCAAGGCTTCTGGTTCAGAAATTTTACAGGGTGGGATACCAGCAAGGATCTTTGATAATTATTCCAAGATTAGAGTTCATAACTAGAAGCCTGGGGTTGGAAATCTTGCTTTTGGTAACTCACAATGCACTCTTACAGTGCTCCTTGTAGTGAAGATGTGGATACATACATTCTTTCCACAACCTTACACAATAAGAATTAAGCACTGGAAACAAGGCTGGAGCAGTACTAAAAACAACAACAACAACAACAACAACAACAACAACAACAACAGTGAACTGCTCCTGGTCACATGTCCATCCACAATTTTGTAAGAGGCTCGAACTGGAAACTACAGAGCCAGCTCATGAGCAATTCTCACAATCCTTCACAAAATCAGGGCTAGGATGGAAGAGAAACGGGGTTTTCACCTGCGTTCCTCTTCCACCTCCTGTGTAGGACCTGCATGTGTTGTCTCCGTATGCGGGGAAAAGGTTCTCGCCCTGCACCACAGCGTGCGAATAGTAGGGAATTGCTAGGCGTGAGGGTTTTTTTTTTGAGGGGGGGGGAGCGCGAATCCTGGCGGCGGCGGCGGCGGCGGCTGGAAGCGGTTAGGGGGAGGATTGGGAGGCCTCAGCCAATGACACGGAGGGCCGCTCTCAGCTGGCAGGCATTTAAATGGCAGCTAGCGCGCCGCGTTCCCAAATCCGAGGCAGGAGCCCGAGCGCCTTACGCGGGAAGAGCAGCGGCGAAGCTTCGGTCGCCGTCGCAGGTGAGGCATAGCGGGCTTAGCCTTCGCCGAGGGAGAGGGGGCGACGCTCCACGTCGCAGAGCGGGAAAGGCAAGGCTTCAGGCAGCCCAAGCTCCGTGGAGCTACTCGAGACGCGGTGCCGAGCGTTGTTTGGGGGAAAACAAACGCGGAGGGAATCGAGCTGCCTTCTTGGGCAGGAGGAAACCCAGAGTTCAGCGGGCTTTATTTTCATAGTGAGGGTGGCGGTAGGACTTTTTAGCATTATTGCTGGCGCGGGAAAGCCGGGGTGTGTGCGTGTGGGGGTGAATCGGGGCTTTGATACTAGTGGTAGTTGGGAGTTTACCCGAGTGTAAAAGAGGAGGTTCTTGTTTTCTTGAGTGCTAGATGGGGAGCTTTCAAACGGAGGCCCCTGCACGTGAACTACTCGGGAGAAAAGCCTTGCGGAGGGAGGTGGGGAATTTATCCCAGGGTAGAACCACCGGGGTTACTCAAGGTAGACAATGCGCTTCTGCGATTGTTGGCCAAGGGCTAGTCAAGCTCAGCTACTCAGTGCGTTGCAGGCGTTCCAGAGACCTGGACGATCGCCTCGATCTCCTAAAGTTTGGGGTCCTTCGCTCAGGGACAGAGGCAGCAGCCAGCATCCTTCCCCCCTCCCCCCCCCTCCAGCCCCGTCAAGTTTGGCTTCCGAGCCCGCGCGTCTCGCCCTTTCTGCCTGCCGGGTTACGAGGACGACGCAACGCCCGGGTAAACTCTGCCCCGAGTAAATCCTGCGATTGGTTTTAAATGTGGCGTCTTCCGCGTCTCAAAGGAGGTTCATGTCTGCCGCGCTGGCACTTGAATTAATAAAGCGGCACCTTAATTATGTAAATTACCTAACATTGTTTACACTCGGGTAGCAATTGCGGCCGAGTCGCGATGGCGGGGATTGGGAGTAAAGTTGTCTGGAAGGCGGCGGTGGGGGTGGCTGGTGGAGCAGAAGTGGGAGATTTGAGCAAAAGATCTCCAGATTGGGCCCCTTGCGGTGTTTTGCAAGCCGAAAGCCTGATTTCCGATCATAACTCTCAGGGAGCAGCCGTCGTGGATAGTTGCGTAAAACTTTTCCTGCCACGGGCCATTTGCAGCCCTGACAACCCCTTAACTTCACTAGGCAAGAGTTCCTACGGTGAGCGAGAAGCGTCTGCTTTTGACGCCGGTTAGCCAACGATAAGCTGTCGTTTATGCAGATCTGGTGGGAATTGGGTAGATTTCAACGGCCGAGGCGCAGTAGCTCTTCCACAGAAAGGTCGGAGGGAGAAACATTTCAGGCAGGAACTATCGCTTTTGCGGACACAAGGAGTAAGCTATTCCCGCAAGCTATTCCCTCTGATATTGTAGGGAGGTTTCTAGGACAAGCTATGCAAATGGATTAAAAGAAAGCAATGGCATCCCGCCCAGATTTAGCTACTTAAAAGTTTTAATTACAGCAGTGAAAGATAAAACAAAAAGAAAAAAAAAACCAGAATAAGAGGTGCAAAATAAATAAATAAAGAGAACCTCTACTCCAAGAAAGAGAATTCCCACCCTCATCACAAGTATAAGCAATTTCACCATCTTTTCACCACCTCATAGTTAACAGATATAAAGCTAATTCATCCTGCAATTAAACAAATAGGCAAATCTGATAAGTAATGTGTTCTCCCATCCAGGTATCAGCAAAAAGTCCATACAGAGCCTAAAATAATACTTAACAAATATAAAATTTGTCATTCCATATCTCAACTCACTATTAGCAAAACCACATTTAGAAGGTATAAAGTGGTCCCAGTATACTAGTATGAACAAAAGACTAAAACTTAAGTCTTAAGTTAGGAAGAGGGACAATTACTCCTTTAAAGAGAACAAGCCCTCAAAAACCCCTGACTTTGAGGAAGGACAGTTGGATACAAAGCCAATTTAAAAGCTATTGGATTAGGATACATAAAGTAACTACAGGGAGGAAGGTTAAATGCCATGTTAACTATAAGCAAATCCAATACACAACATTTTTCCAGTCCAGCTGTCAACAAGGCCAAAGAGAACCACTCAAACTAACATTTTAGTACATCTCTTCTCCCCCCTTCCTTTCTTGATGCTGGCCTTGTTTCATCTTACTCTCTTCATTTTACTAAAATTGCTAAGCAAAGAGAAGTGAAGGAAAAGTTAAGTCCATGCTGTCATCATCTGATCTTCTGGCTTTTTAAACCCACCCCCTTCAAATGTTGGGTAACCCTAGATAACTCATGTCAGCACCTTTTTAAAAAATCACTCTTAACAAGCATTGCTAGATACAGTACTATACTGTGAAAAGTTCCTTATCCACTCCAATATAACAGAGTCAATAGAATCCCACATGGATCAAAATGATTAGTGTGTTTTGATTAAGATTTCTTTGGCAAAGATAAGAGAGATGTGTAACATCTTTTAGTCAAAAGTTAGAATAGAAGCACTAACAGCCTTCTCTATGGAGACCTTTTATACCTAGGTTTAGATCCAAGGCTTCTCTGGAAAACTCTTTCAAATTAGTTCAAAGTCAAGATTCAAGAGGATATTAATGCATTAGAACATTGAATCAAACTAAGCAAGAAGAATTTCAACAGAGAAATGTGAAGTCTTCCTTTTGGCTGGGAAGAATTTAGGGTGGAGGGCGACGGTGTTAAGCAACAATAAGGGCAAAAAGGGATCACAAGCTAAATACAAATTAATAGCAGGATGAGGCTGAATGAAAAAGTGAATGCAGTTACTATAGTTTAGATCAAGAGAAGTCATTGTTACTCTACATCTGATCACCATAGTTTAGACCAGTGTTTCTCAACCTTGGAAAAGCTTGAAGATGGGTGGACTTCAACTCCCAGAATCCCCCAGCCAGTGCTGCTTCAAGGAAGCATCTTCAAGCTTCCAAGGTTGAGAAACACTGGTTTAGACAGTGAAGACCAGGGTTTGTCCAAAGAAGACTAACCTAGATAATAAAGGGCTTGGGAAAAAAAAAAAGAATGTTTGAAGGTGTTTACCATGGAAAAGGCAACACTATGACATAAGAATCTGAGTTCAAATTACAGGTTAGTCGGACATCAGAAAAATTATCTGACAGTAAGATTGGTTCAACAATTAGATTGAGTGGTGATGGATCTCATTCACCACTAGAAATGATCAAACAAAGGCTGGGTTACCATCTTTGGGAGATGCTGTAATAGTGGACTAGAATTAGATGTTCTGAAATATATATTTGATCATTTACATTCTGTTATGTCTATTTCCATCTTTTAAAGCAAGTTTAAATGTTTGACCAGGTTTGAGGGGACCGGAATCAGGTTTCTATCTAATCAAAGTGTTCACTGGTGATTTTGGATTAGTTAGTCTCTCTTTCATCCTAACCTATCTCGTATGATTGTTACTGGAATGAAATTTGGGGAGAGGGACATCTGCTTTGAGGTCTCACAGAAAAGGTGAAATTTAAATAATTTTCTTGATAGATAAATTAGTTTCCAAAACGTATACCAACTGAATGAGTTTCAATAGGCTATATTAAAATGTCTGTATACGATCCATTGATATTTATTCTTGAGAGCCAGTTTGGTGTAGTGGTGAGATCATGAGTTCTAGTCCGACCTCAGGCACACGGCTTAGCTGGATGACCTTGGGCTTGGCACCGTCTCTGAGCACTAGGAAGCAGGCAATAACAAACCGCTTTGGAAAAACCTTGCCAACAAAACTTCAAGAATTTGCCCAGGCAGTTGCCAGGAATCAAAAATGACTTACAAAAAAACCCCAAAAAATTAAAAACCCAAGATCCTCCCCACAACTATTCCTTTATAAAGTATTGTCCCACAGCAGAAGAGGAAACTCTAAGTTGATGTTTCCTCTTCTGAAGTTCATGTTTATAATTTAATTTGAATTTTTTTTAAAAAAACTTTGCTGTTGGTAGAATGCTATTCTTTCAGTAGATTTTTTTTAAAGCTTCAAAGAAACATCCAGTCTTCTGCTAAGAAAAGTATTGTAAACTCTTTCTTAGGACAATATAGTCTGCCCTCTCCTCATCTGCAGGACAGGTCTGTGATTGAGATTTGCAATTCAGTTTATATTGACTCTGTCTGTAAAGGCATTAACAACCAAACTTGTTTGGGTCCTTCTCTCTGGCTATTTAATTAGAAAAATTAAAAGAAGGAGCAATACTGCAGGCGTACAAGGTTAGTACTGCACTGCAATCCAAAAACTTGCAATTGTGACTATGCCAGTAGGGCATTATTATTGTGTTTGCTTTGTATCCCAGGACGCTGTTGCTAGTTTAGCCATTGTTTTAGAGATGTGTTTAATTTTTACTTTGCTGAATTTATTATAATAGGTATAATAAGTAGCTAGTATTACTTTTGTTTTTCTTTAACTAATTTTTCTGAAAATCGAGTTTCTAAGTTTTTTTGAAATCCATTCTCTTCAGCCGCAAATCCCTTATCGTGATCCTGTCATTGAGACTGGCAATTAAGTGTGTTGAGTGATAATTATGTTACCGCAAATCCAATTTATGGAGTCTGAATCTAGATACTGTATGTAGTGGAAAAAAAGGTGGGAAAGAAATTTCCTTTGCAGATCTTTAAAGAAATAAAAGAAATTTTAAAATTTCATGGAAGATCTTAGTGTGAAAGCACCAAGTTTCATTTAAAATATTTTCATGAAATATTTGAACTTCTATTTGCTTTCCTTTTTCTTACCTGGATTTTATTTACATTTTTTAATGTAAATAAAGGACCTGGGTGAAAAAAGTAAGCTTGTTTGGAACACTTAATGTAACACTTATTTGCCACAGTCCATTCATGTAAGCATTCAAAATTTATGTCACTGACTTGACTCAAATAATAAAGTCCAGTATATTAATTTGATGCTGCTGTTATTGTTAGTAAGCATAGTATAAATACTCTTGTTTTCCCCAAAATAAGACATCCCCTGATAATAAGCCCAATTGGGCTTTTGAGTGCATGGCAATAAGGCCAAGCGCTTATTTCAGGTTCAGA